AGAGTCCTCGTGCGGTTGCTCAACGCAGAGCTGTTTCTATCAAATCTACAAATAATTATAGATGCTGGATTCAGCTCTCAATAGGAAAGAAAGTCAACAGTAACCAAGTCGAGTAGCTTCCTCTGTTGCGGACTGTGAGAAAGCAAACTCCTCAGATGCACAAATGTAACCAGGTGTCCATTTCAGATCTCTCAATGTGGGGACAATGGAAACTGGATTAGATGGAGACAAGCAATTTGAGGGCAGAGTTGGCATGCATGGCCACACGCCACTCGAATTTTAGCCCTACTGTAAACAACAGGACACAGAGGCTAGAGAACCTTCTGTCGTGTACTTGAGAATCTCATCCTATGCCTCTACAACTACTTAAGAATATCCACTTCATTATAATATCTACCATACATGTTGATTTGTGATTTCCCAAAGCACTGGATGCTATGGGCACATTGCCAGCAGCTCCTTTTTGGCATACAAGGCTAAGCAAATCAAGGTTTCCCACAAATTTCCCATATTTTGAGTGTCTCTCTCTCCCTGAAGCTATGGATTGGGTCTGAAACAGTTAAAAGAAGGGACAGGCAGGTAAGAAATTTAGGTAACTGAACAAATCTCTCCAAGGAATGTCCAAAAGAGCCACTACAGCTCTGTTATGCAGAAAGACTTGCACAGCTGGAAGAGCATGCTTGAACAAAGAGAAGACAGAGACTTCAAATCAATGGGGATCTTTTGCTGGAAGAGCATGCTTGAACAAAGAGAAGGTGAGACAGAGACTTCAAATTAATGGGGACCTTTGAACTCATAGATCCTGTTGTCTAAAGTGAACTGTAGGAAATGTGGGGGTCAGATATTGATGAGAAAGTAAACAACTTTCAAGTCTATCACAGCAAACCACTCTCCTTTCTTAAGGAGTCGCAAGGTCATTTCCAGAGTCATCATTATGAACTTCATTGTGTCTATGTAAGAGTTTACATCCGTCAAGTTTAGGGATAGGATAGTCCGCCATCCTTCTTGGCTACTGTGAAGTAACTGGAATAGAAACTGTTGTCTACCATCTCCAAAAGGCCCCATTGTACAGCACTGTGTAGCATCTTTCTGGAGGAGTGCAGCTATTCTGTCTTCCAATACCTGCGATGGAGTTGTGGGTCTGAAGAAGCCAGTAGGCAGGTAAACTCTATGACACAGCCCAATGGCACGATGGTCAAGACTCAACTGGTGACAGTGTTCGAGGCGGTAAGATGAGGCACTAAAAGTGGAATGTCTGGGTGGAAAGGAACAGGCGGAGGGATACGGATATCGGGGGCAGTCCCTGCAACAAGGTAGTATCTACTGCACTTTAGCTTTACAATTCGCACAAATATCATGGTGAGGGTTTATATCCTCAGATAACCCAGTCTCCTGTGGCTAACCAGATGCCTCTGGGAAGCCCACAAGAAAACATGAATGCAAAAGGACTCTTGTAGTACCACTGGCATGCAGAGGTACGTTTTGTTTAATAAATGAAATAATATACAGCCATCATCCATAAACATATCCCCCATTCATTTGCTTAATTCTTTTAGAAGTCAAAACTGGAAGCCACCACTACTTTTTATGGCTTCTACCTCCCTTTCTCCACACCCGTAGACACACGCTTATTCCAGTAGACAGAGTAGGCCTTTTGAATAATGTATCTTTGCTTCATTCTTTGTTCAGCAAAGAGGTGTGAACTAGGAAATATGGCTGGTACCTCCCTCCCAAATAAGCCATCATCACAAGCCAAGAACAATTACAGCAAATAATATCCAGGAAGAACAGTGTTCTCCTAAAGACTGCCTTATCACTCTCACTGTAAGTAGGAACAGCTGAAAACATACTGTCCCCAGTTTGTTTATTGTGACACGTGAACTTACAACTCTGGCTTGTCTCTTTCCCAGTAAACCAAAGTTGTAAGCAAAGAACAAGCCATGATGTGAAGTTGGTTTGTTGGGGGAGGTATAAGCCAGCGATTTCCTGGTTCATAGTCCATCACTCACAGCTCAAGCAAACAGGATGCTAAAAATTTTGAAAACTGTTGTTTTTATTATCATTTCTATATTACTAGTGTTTTCTACATTAATAGTATTTTCAGCACCTTCATAGTTTGTCCAGTGCCCTCCACCACATACCAGGCATAGACAGTAATGCATTGCCATTATCCTCACAGTATCAAAGGAATGTGGCTAAAGCTGAAAGAGCAACTTATGACAATGTTGGCTCGTAATCCTAGGGTTTTCTTGCGGGCTACCAGGCAAGCGAGCACAGCAGTTTGAATGCCTCTAAGGTGCATTCCCTGAAGAGATGCAGAAGAAAACACCACAGCAAGTACCTCACCAGATGCTGTCAGACTCAAAATCCCATCCACCCCAGATAACATGGAACATTTTCCCAGATGGGAAAAGAGGGCATCCAGCACAAGAGCTAACAGGTCACAGGGCCCTCCCTTTGGATGAGAAGATGTGAGCCAAGCCGGAGACTAGGAACCAAATGAAACCACGGCAGCCTCTTTTTTTATATAACCCGGCAGCATGCCCTAAATAGCGTATTTTTCTGTGTATAAGACTATAGAGTACTTTCGTCTAAAATCTTAAACTAAATATTGAGGGTCGTCTTATACATGGAAGTAAGCTGAGGAGAGAACAAAAACAAGTGGAGGGGAAAGCAGGGATCAAAGCAATCCTGCAGTGCTTTGATCCCTTTCCCCCTGCACTTGCTAAGCCCCACTTATTTTTCTTAATTTTGGGTTAGAAAAGCGGGGGTTGACTTATACATGGGAGCGTCTTATACATGAACCTTAATTTTGGGTTAGAAAAGTGGGGGTTGACTTTATACATGGGAGCGTCTTATACACGAAAAATACAGCAGATGTAAAAACATGCAGACCAGCATGGACCCTTTTCATATTCTCTTCCACAGATTCAATCTGCTCAGACTAGTAATGAGCAAATATCTTTTCCTTTCACCAAGAGAAAGGTGGCATGGAAATGGAATGAATAAATAACAGACTCTAATACTGGTCTGTATGCCTAGCTAGGTCACCCAACGCAGAACGGAGAAAGCGGAGGTAGCCTAAAGACATATCTTTCTTGTTCAGAAATGAAGAGTCAAATCAACCGGCAATGAAGGGGATCCTGACAAGCACTTACTGAAGGTGAAAGAAATTTCATTGACAACCCAAGCATTCTTGAGTGATGCACAAGCTAACCCTTGCTAGTACCATGCAGAAGAAGAGAAAGGCAAAGCATTTCTCAATATTTTGCACCTTGAAAACCCTTTATGAGACAATCCAAAATGAAAGAAGACGTAGCTCCTCGCATGCACTCAAACAATGAAAATGGACAGTTTGGCAATAACTCTCTCTAGTTTTCTCAGTCAGTTGGGTGGGAACTTTAATATTTACCTCAGTCAGGACCTGACTTTACACAGGTTGCTACACAAAGGAGTTCTTAAGGACCAGAGAAAAGAGGAGTGGTTCAACCAAAAGACAACACGGAAACAAAACAATAATTTTATATTTTACAGCTGCTGATCCAGCTGCCCATTTTTCTCCTCTGAGATCTGTTGTTCACCAAAATATTTATAGATTTATGACAGAGAATTCTGAACATGCTCAGGAAGCTATCCTGGAAATTTCATTTGGAGCAGGAAACGGGATGTCATGATAAACTTGCATAAGATTTGTATAAAAGTAATATATACATCAGTGCAAATAAGACTTTACTGTCTGGGGAGGAACCGTTACAAGCATATAAGTGTGAGGACACCCACATATAGGTATACGAAAGCATTTAACTACAGATTCACTATTATTTAAATCATGCTGCTATCATCTGTGCATATGCTATCATTTGTTTTGTCCTATAAAGTATAACATTAAAACTGCTGCAGATGCCGATTCTGTGTCCAGAGTCAAACACTGGAAATGGAGATGGGACGTCACAGAACAGGAGAAAAATGGACCCTTATTTCCTGCCATCAAAGCTGAGATAGGACACAGCAGAAACGTGTGTGTGTGTGTGGGGGGGGGGAGTGTCTTCTAGTTCAAAGAGCAGATGGTAAGCAAAAGGTTGAGGAGGAAAAACCCAGCAGGACTAGGCTGTCAATGTCATGAATACTTTCAACAATAAAGTGACAAAATCTAGATTTGAAACAGGTAGTACAGGTGAGTAAAAAGAACTGTGGGGGGGGGAACTATATAATAGACATCTCTTGCAGTCACATTTATGATGCTATTATTATAAAGTCAGTGAAAATCTAGAATACCTGCTTCTTTTAGTGCATTTCAATAACATCACAATTCTGCTTATAGGTGGTGTACACATCACATCTGCTACAGGATAATGACTGGTTCACCCCACCCGACACCCCTTTGGTGAATTTTGCATTAGTGTTTAGAGTGTTTTGTTTTTGTGTGTGTGTGTGTCTGGGTGGCTGCCATCAAGCACTGATACTTTCAGGAAGCTATCAAAGTCCATAGCCCAGTAAAAAACACAAACACATCTCTCTACGAGATACCAGTTTTGAGTGAATGGTAGGAACTCAATCATGTGAGTTCTTGCCCATGCTGTCAAACAGTACCACCCAGGCACCTGTTTCTGGAACAGCAAGGCGATAGATTTTCAGTCGCTGCATTATATTTATGCCTGTTTCTATCTAAAAGCTAGAAATCCAGTTTTCAACTCAGTAACACAGCTGTTTTTCTGTTCGGAAGACTATCAATGTGCCCACTTTTAAAAATCAGCATTTAAACAGCTCATTAAAGATTTCAGTGAATGTAATCTATTACAAGACCTCTTTCTTTCTTTCTTTCTTTCTTTCTTTCTTTCTTTCTTTCTTTTTCTTCCTTTTAAACAACAACACTTTGGCCTACTTTGTCTAATAACAAATCTTAATTTCTTTCTTTCTTTCTTTCTTCTTCCTTTTAAACAACAACACCTTGGCCTACTTTGTCTAATAAAAAATCTTACAAATGAAAAATAGCAACTTACCTGGAAGCTTCGCCCCAAAGAAGGTGTCTGAGCTGCTCGAGAAGACGTTGGCACACCGGCTCCTTTCTCAGTGGTGAAACACCTCCATTTGTTCACGCTTCCAAATTCTTCAAGGACCCGCCCGACGGAAAGTTGCCATTCAGGATTTCTGACCATGGGCAATCCTCTTGTTATGCAAAGCTTCGGGATGCAACCCCAGTGGAATACGGCTGGATTATCTTTTGTGCTGCTTGTTCCAACAGTGTCAAAAAAAGAGAAAGAATCAACGTTTTATGGGGCATTTAAATCTGGGAGGCAAACACAGCAATCCGAGGAGGAGATTCTTCAGGTTCAAGCAGTTTCTTAAAACCATTGCCACATTAAGTCAGGATTAATGCAGGGAAACAAATGGTAAGAAACTCCACTTTAACATGATGAATTTCTTGAAGGAAACACTATTGGCTCCAGTTTCATGGGACTCATTTTTGAAGTTCATGAAACTATTTGTGTGTGGGTGTTTTTTTCTTAAGTGAATGTCTGTATTCCAGATATTACAATTAAAACAGTTATGTAAAGGTAAGGCAGAAAAGCCCCTCCACTATAATTCTGGCTTTCATAATTCCATATTCACCGTTAGGCACCTGAGACTCCATTAGACACTGGGCATCACGAAATACCCATTGCATTGTGAGCCCTTTGTGAGCCCTTTTAGAAATATTGTAAGTGAAAGAGGAGAGTGCAAAAAAACGGTCTGAAGCTCAACATCAAAAAAACTAAAATCATGGCCACTGATCCCATCACCTCCTGGCAAACAGAAGGGGAAGATATGGAGGCAGTGACAGATTTTACTTTTTTGGGCTCCATGATCACTGCAGATGGTGACAGCAGCCACGAAATTAAAAGATGCCTGCTTCTTGGGAGGAAAGTGATGACAAACCTCAACAGCACCGTAAAAGCAGAGACATCACCTTGCCAACAAAAGTCCGCATAGTCAAAGCTATGGTCTTTCCTGTAGTGATGTATGGAAGTGAGAGCTGGGCCATAAAGAAAGCTGACTGCCGAAGAATGGATGCTTTTGAATTGCGGTGCTGGAGGAGGCTCCATTCTGAAGGGAATCAACCCTGAGTGCTCACTGGAAGGACAGATCCTGAAGCTGAGGCTCCAATACTTTGGCCATCTCATGAGGAGAGAAGACTCCGTGGAAAAGACCCTGATGCTGGTAAAGTGTGAAGGCAAGAGGAGAAGGGGACAGCAGAGGACGAGATGGCTGGACAGGGTCACCGAAGTGACCAACATGAATTTGACACAACTCTGGGAGGCAGTGGAAGACAGGAGAGCCTGGCGTGCTCTGGTCCATGGGATCATGAAGAGTTAGACGACTAAACGACTAAACAACAACAAAGACACAATGTTTGAGCTGGCTATTAAGCAATGCTGGAAAGGGGTGATGTCACTTCCATGAACTCTGTTAAATAGGGAATACTATGAAAGTAGGATAAACGAGTAGATTAAGGCAAAAAGCTCTTGGAATGTGTGGTTCTTTCCACAAACTAGTTATTAGTTCCAAAATATACAGAAAATCATAGTAGCATCTTCCTTAGGACAGTCACACTAATATTCAAGATTGCAGGGTCTCCATTATCTATCATTAAGGCTGTTATAAAAAGCATGTGGGTGGGGAACTAAAAAGCTAAGCAACTACAACTTAAAGCCATGCAGCCTGCATGGTTGAAATGAAATGAGGGAGCAAGGCTGCTAACATTTTAATTAGGTTCTTCCAGATGATGCAATGGTTTCACTCTGCAGCTGGAACTGCCCTAAGGACTGCTAGGAAGAAGCTGCAAAGAGCTGGCTCCTCCATTTTCGGAGGCTTACATTTCCAATAGAGCACAAGAGTCCTACTGGTCAAATATTTCAAGCCAATGATGAATGGGGAATGTTGGAAGCAAAAATGCTATTTTCTCTGGAAGGGAACAGCACAGGTTATAAAATGCCCCTCCCTTCATTGCAAAGCAGGGTCATGAAACCCAACCAGGCAGATATGAATATTTCACCAGCCATTCAGATGAAAACCAGGTTCCATTCACCAAGCCTGTTAATTGAAATCTGGGTTTACATATTCAACAGATATGGATCAAGCTATGACTCAAGATAGAAAAAAAATAACAACAACACCCACCCTTGTATGGTTTGTCATGCGCCATTGTTTTCACAGGGAAAGGTTTCAGACACATACTCAAGACAGCAAGTGTATCTTGCCCTATTTAGGCGTTCAGGATAGGGGTTGGCCTTAACTTTGAGGAAAAGGAGAAAGTTAGCTTTGCTCAGTCTGGCAACTGCTCTCTTCAGATGCTTAGCAATTTCTCTTCAGATGATTAGCATGTAGGCTCTTCGTGCAATCTGGAACGCTAAAAAAAACGCATAAGAATATGCGGACAGACTTTTTGCTCTCCATGTGAAAAGAAGAACAAGCAAAGTGTGGGATTGGTCTACACCTTTTGCTTATGTGTCCAGATTAACCCTATTGTGAATATTTGAAGAGGACTCTTGTCAGCTTTAGAATGAGTCCTCAGACTGGGAATCACATCACCCTTTTCTTTCCAATCCATTTCCTTCCAACTCAGTATGTTATCTTAGCTGCAAAAAGAAAGCAATTCATTTCTGAGCTAGCCACTTGGCTAAGGTGTCTGCCGTAGCAAATAGTTTTTAGAAAAGTCTCAGTAGCCCGAGGGCCTGGTGATTGACCAACTACAGTAATGACACACCTATGAGAACCAGTTCTCCTCCCCTGCTTTTCTGGAAAAACAGATCAGGCTTATCAGCACCACAGACAGATTTCTGTTCCACCCCACCATCATTTGCGTTCTCAGATTTCCTGCCAGACTGCCCAGGTTTACAAACAAGAATATTTGAAGTCAGAGGTTGTAACACAGACATCATACACACAGGAATATTGACATATGCCTAAGAGATTCGGGTGGGTAACAGACGTGGCTCACAAAAAGAATGACACACTACCTTTTGCCAAAGTGGAGGAGAAATGACAAGTCTAGGGATGATGATGATAGTCATTATGAAAAAAAAGGGAAAAGAAAACCTTGCCAGTCCCCAAAACCTATGGGAACATCATGTCGAGAAGGTGTAAGAAGATGAGGAAGTCAAGACTTTGTGGGATTTCCGGATCCAAACTGTTAGGCACCTTGAACATAACACACCAGACATAGCAGTAGTAGAATGAAGACATGTCTGGATCATTGACATTGCAATTCCAGGAAATGCCAGAGGTGAAAATAAACAATTGGAAAAACTAAGAAAATCTAGAGATGGTTGTTGTGGGTTTTTCGGGCTCTTTGGCCATGTTCTGAAAGTTGTTCTTCCTAATGTTTCACCAGTCTCTGTGGCCGGCATCTTCAGAGGACAGCACTCATTGGCCAAGTCCAGACCTTCTATGAGCCAAAATGACAGACGCTACAGATGCCAAAGCACAAAATTACACAATGCAGAAAGCAAATGGTACACTGTGAAGAACCACAAGGTAGGTTCTCGACAACAGGTGTTTGTAACCTCTCTTCTGCAGCTGGTATTGGGAGGCAAGAACTCATCTGGTGCTGTGTCTGTGGCTGGAGGGCAAGGCAAGGCCCTGACTCTTACTGTGGGCAGGAGCAAGCAATACATCCTCCCAAAGGAAACTGTTTCCGTGTACTTTATATCTTATTCAATGGGACACAAAGACAGTTTACTACAATTAACACTTCAGAATAGCCCACACAAAGATCTGAAGATGCAGCGTTATATTGCTAAAGCAAGCATACGTTATGCTTTCCTCTAGCTTGTATTTCCCTCCTATTAGCTTGCCTCTAGGTCTTCCTAGAAGCCAGTAAAGGTAAAGGTTCCCCTTGGCATCTAGTCCAGTTGTGTCCAACTCTAGGGCACAGTGCTCATCCCCATTTCCAAGCCGTAGAGCCAGCGTTTGTCCATAGACAGTTTCCGTCGTCACGTGGTCAGTGCGACTAGACACGGAATGCCATGGTGGTACCTCTTTATCAACTTGCATTTGCATGCTTTCAAACTGCTAGGTTGGCAGGAGCCGGGACAAGTGACGAAGCTAGGTTGGCAGGAGCCAGGACAAGTGACGAGGGCTCACTCCATTGTGTTGATTCGATCGTATGACTGCTAGTCTTCCAACCTTGCAGCACAGAGGCTTCTGCAGTTTAACCCGTAGCACCACCACATCTGGGAAGGCTATGTTGGGATCTTTCGTTCTGTCCTGCTGCCAGCAAATAAATACTTTAAGAAAAAAGGCAGCTTTTGGCAACCAATCATCTCGCACAGATAGGACCTATTAGTTCGGTGCCATACATTTCTTTAGGGAATGGTTACATATCATAACACTCCTAATTTTGCATCGGGTTTAGCGTGTTTGAAATCGATTTTAAGATTTCCACCTACATGATGTACAGTGAAGTGTACATTTTTAAGGTGGAAAAGTGAGTCATTTTACACAGCCTAGAAGGGGTTGTTTATTTTAACTCGATTATGAATGTGATTTATTTTAAATTATTTTGCCACACATGAATATCTCTATTGGAGTAAATTGTGTCTGTGGGGTTTATCAAGTACAGTGGTGCCCCGCATAATGAGCGCTTCGTTTAACGACGAATCCTCATAGCAATGTTTTTTTGCGATCGCATAACAATGTTTTAAAAGGGAAAACATCGCTTTGTGATGATCGGTAAGTGTTTCGCTTACCGATTATCGCATAACAATGTTTTAAGAACAGCTGATCGGCGGTTCCAAAACCGCCGGGTAAAGAAAATGGCTGCCTGCAGTGTTTTTGCGCCCTTTCCTCGCTTACTGGGCAGCGAAAATGGCAGCCACGTGGAGGATTTTCGCAGAACTGTGAGTTTTTTGCCCATAGGAACACATTAAACGTGTTTTAATGTGTTCCTATGGGCTTCTTGGTTCTGCATAGTGACGAATCTGTATAGCGATGATTTTTTTCGGAACGGATTATCATCGCTATGCGGGGCACCACTGTACTGTATAGCAGGAATTCAGATTTCAGAGCGCAGGATATCGTGCAGTCCAAACTCTTAATATATATTTTTTCTTTTTCTGTTTTAATGCTGAATCAGTTAAGTGCTGGAGACTGCTGAGAGCTGCCTCACTGGTGGTTTATTGTAGCTTGCTGTTCCCTTAAGATCTAGCGCTATCCCACTTGAAATGCATAAACATTTAAAATGATTAAAAATAACAGAAAACATAGCAGTGGAAGGAAACAGGAAAAGCATTATGCTGTGCACCTGCCCGCTCCAACAAAGGGCTGCTGAGTATGTGCTTGCTCTCTCTCTTTCTCTCTCTTTCACACACACCAATTCAGCTACCGATTTATTTCTGTAGTGCAATCGTAATCTTAGTCATGAACTTCAAATTCATTCAGAACTGCCCTGCTAATTGATTTCTTTCCTGATTCATTTTTGTTTTAATTGAATATTACTCTTGAGCCACTTTGAACCCCATTTTGTGAGAAATCTAGCAATAAATCTAACAAAATAAAATAATCTGATCCAGAGCATCACTTGGATAGAAGACTCCCAAAGAGTTGCCTGGGCATCTGCTTTGAACTCACATGAGAATGCTGGGAAAAAAAAAAACAGGGAGGAATTACAACTTGATGCTACAACTGTGGCCAAACCGGTTTTACAGGGGGCAGACTAACTGTTTCTCAACTGTGGAGGAACAGTGAGTGAGCAGCAAAGGAAAGTCATAATGACTCACTGGAAGAAGTTGAAAGTCACGGGAGAGCCATAGCTTTTATCAGGCTCATTCAGTTCACCATTAAATAGTGGGCAAATGTTCAGGTTTGCTAGAACTCTTCATTGAGTTAGACTGAGAGATTGGCACTAACCGTTGGCTCGGCAATGTATTCGCGAAGGCTTTCACGGCTGGGATCTAATGGTTGTTGTGGGTTTTTCAGGCTCTTTGGCCGTGTCCTGAAGGTTGTTCTTCCTAACATTTCGCCAGTCTCTGTGGCCGGCATCTTCAGAGGACAGCACTCTGTGCTCTGGTGCAGTTTGTTTGGGAGTTTTGTTTGGCTCGGCAGTTTGTGCCATTTCAGCTGACAGCCCGACGGGAGCTCCACGGTTCAAGCGCCTGACCTCCTTCACAGGCATGCACTCAATAGCCAACGCCCAGAGCAGGAGGCGCTCTGGACTGCAGAACACCCATTGGGCCATTGGCCAAACCGCTGGTTCATGCCCAACTCTAGAGATGCGAAGCAAAAGTATTTCTGCGGCGTGGAAGAGAAGAAGCAGAAGTGATTCATCTAGATCACCTGGAATCCTTGAACGCCACTGTTGACAAGGCCTAGGTTTATCTGACGCATGGTAATATACTGACAACACAGCATTGGATTTTGATAGGTGGATCTTATGAATTTTACAGCACGGATCCACTTGACTCCTTTCCCACAGGAGCTATGACTAGGCGTGACGTGCAAAAGTTTGCTACTATTATCTCTCAATTGGATCAGGAAGGTTACAACAAGTCAACTCGTGTTTTTCGGCGAGAGGCAACTTCATTTAATTGGGTCAACATCCTTAAAACACCCACTGGTGCCATCACTTTTCCTTATGCGGTCACAGAATGAGCACAAGAACAGGGAGGATTGAAGGTGGCTACGTAACTTACAGAGTGAATGCAAGGGCTGGAGAATCAGAGATCCAGAGAGTCCCGATATCTGTCAAATTTTAATGAGCTCTGAATAGCCCTCACCCAGCAAGGACTGCTTTTACAAAACTTCAGTTAGTTCCAGTAGTATTTGGGCAGGTCTCATGATTTAATCCCATTATACATAAGGGGAAAAAATGACTTGCGGGGATGAAATTAAGCAACCAGCTCATGGTGCCAGTAACAAAGCCATGCGCTTGTACGGTCAACTCAATACTGTGAACTACAATTACTTTCAAGAAAAACTTGAGGTCACCAAATATGGAGGCATAATTAAGTTTGATGCTAAAAAGTCTTGCTTTTTTTTATGAAGCAAACTACTGTTCATGTATGACGAAAGTAAATTGATGTAGATGTCTGCTTATTTATTGACATCGGTTATTTGTTTTAGTCCTCATGGGCAAAATATTTATTTTTTTCCCACCAGGTCTTGCATATAGGGCATTTATTCTTCAAACAGCACCCGGAGACTCATGGCAGAGTGGTTAAACTGCAGTGCTGCAGCCAAACCTCTGCTCACAACCTGGATTGAGGCTGACTCAAGCTTTCTATCCTTCCAGGGTCAGTAAATTGAGTACCTAGACTGCTGGAGGGCAATGATGATATTGTAAACTGTCCAGAGTGTGTTTAAAATGCTATGAGGTGGTATACAAGCAGCACACTTTGCATTGGTGAAATTGTGTGTTTTTCCCCCCTGCCATCCATATGACGCAAGGCTTGATTCAGTATTTCCATGACTTTGCAAACTATTTTGTCTCCTCTTGAAAATATAGTTTCTTATTTTGGTTTGTTCTTAGTGACAGGGAAATGCTTTTTAAAAATCTATATTTTAAAGGCTAAATTAGAAACATTTGTTTCCTATCCCACACTTTTGCTCTCTTCTAACTCCCCAACACCCAACCCACATAATCTCTCTGCATTTCTTCCTGGGCACATAGCCCAACAGCAGTACTAGAACACAGAGCGCCCGTATTGCAAGAGAAACAAATCAGAATTGTGTGCCTGCATCTTTCTTTGGTCTCCCTGCCTCTTTCTGTTCTATGTCCACAGATGATTGCCTTGTAGTTACTAGCCGTTCCGCAGAATTTCACAATTCTTGAATTTCATCATCATAGGCATCCTTCAGTCTTGAGAGACTATGGTAACATGCTCTGAAATGAGGAGTGTCCCCTCCAGAGCATGAAGCCTGGGTAAAGTAATATGGAGGATAGGCTGTTACCCAAGCAACAGATTTCCCCCTCTCCATGTTGCTGAAATGGTCCAATGGAAAGGCAAGAGCCAATACAACTGGTTCCAGCAACGTCGCAGGAGATGGCAGAACGACACGAACTGCCTTCGGGACTCCAGCTCTGGATTTTGCCTCTAGGTTAACTCCTGAAGCCTTTCAAACCTCCACTGTCTTGAATTTCACAATTCTTGAATATCACATATTCTATGCATACGCAAGGAATGTTTCTTTTATTATATTTTTCAATTGCCTCAGTGGTGCAATATACTATTCTGGGCAGTTCACAGCATGACAAAATAAAACACACAAGAACAATAAGATTATAAATAAATGGCCAAAAAAATAAAAGTAACAACAAGAGGTGTGTCATCAGAGTAACAGGTGGGACACAAGGCATGGGATTGTCTGTCTGTCTGTCCTTGGGAAAAGCAGTAATCCTCAACGATTGGGATTTAAAATCCGACCATCTCAAATCTAAGGCAGGCGTGACAAGGAACGAATCACCCGCAAAACAAGATATTCATGTGCAGCAGCGTCCCGAACACTCCCTGCTTCCATGATTGAGGTGTGAAGCATGTTACCCAATTAGGAACAACTGAAAGAGATATTGTGTGCAGAGGCAAGGAAGGTACAGCATTTGAATTGCACAAAATAAAGATGGTAAAGATTATGTCTAACACTCCAAATGTAGTCAGATTGCTAGTTGAAAACAAGTCTAAGTTCAGCAGAAGTACTCCAGGATACAGGTGTATAAAATTGCAATCTAAGCTTACGGGGATTGAAATTTATAATTACTGTATACCATAATGTCCTGCTCCTTTTCACCCACGAATCTCAATCTCTCTCTCTCTCTCTCCCACTCTCACCCTCTTACTCACACACCTTTCAGGGATGGTAACAGCAATAAGGTTTCAGATTATCAATGAAACCAGGGTGGTTTGTTTGGCAAAAACCCTCTCCTTCTGCCCAGGAATTACATCCTTCTGCAAGCAATGTCATTTTCCAAGCATTCAGACCATCATATTTTGCGATGCGGTTCTCTGCTCTTCGCCCCTATATTATGCCTTGTGCTTCTTGACAGGTTACAAGTGCTTATTACACACGGCTTGTAATATCGGAACAGAACTTCCCTAATGATGGGCAACCAAATTTCACTTGGCATATATCCACACCATTCTGTGACCTCGGGATTGTTCTACACTGCATTTACATGTTAGTTAGTTTACTGACAGGCCTGATGACCAGGTAATCCACCCAAATATAAAGGCAAATCACCAGCCACAAGCTTGTGCCTACAATGCACTTGGCAACTGTAATTTTGCAGGATGGGCAACCAAATTTCACTTGGCATATATACACACCATTCTGTGACCTTGGGATTGTTCTATACTGCATTGACATGTTGGTTAGTTTACCGACAGGCCTGATGACCAGGTAATCCACCAAAGGCAAAAGCAAATCACTAGCCAGAAGCTTGTGCCTACGACGCATTTGGCAACTGTAATTTTGAAGATAAGCAAAATTAGGTTTGGATGGAGTCACTGGCAGGCCATAACACATGATGGATGTGCTGCTGAATGTCTCCCGGTGGGTCAGTTTGCAGAAGGCTGATACACAGGGATCATGGTGTTCTATGGACAACCATCTCTCAGACCTGTGTCAATTTGCGTTCCTACACTGAACAAGAGGTTAGACTCAATCGCATCAGTTTGCAGAAGGCTGATACACAGGGATTATGCTGTTCTATGGACAACCATCTGTCAGACTTGCTTCAATTTGCGTTCCTACACTGAACAAGACTCAATGACGTTATTGGCCCCTTCCAACTCAATTATTCCATGATTATGCAAGAGATGGGAAACTTCGGGTGGCTAGAGAAAGAACTGGACTCCTGCTATGGAACATTCCCCCCACCCGCTTGCATGCATGCATGCGCACACATATCTAAACAGAGAAGACACCTCATCCCAGATTATTGGAGCAAAAAAAGGGAATTTTTTTTTGCCTAGAGTGGTCGCAAGACCAGAGAGGGGGAATATAAATAAAATAGAATAAATAAAGATTTAGCATTGCCTCCATCAGAGTGATACTGAACAAAACCTCTGGGATGGGGGTATGATTAAAGCCACTCTCCACCAGAGCAATGCTGTGAAAGGGAGGACTCCTATTGCAGCAAAATTTTTCATGCCTTCTTGGGAGAAAAGAGAGGTTTTCAGCTTCACAACAACTATACTGGGAAGGAAGTGCTGGTCTCACGTGTTGGTTTGCCAGCTCCCAACAGGAAACAGGGAGTTGTGAGGATCACTCACCTTGTGTTTCCTCAAGGGACTCTGGGGACAAGGATGGCAATTCACTAGCGCCCCATGGCAGACTACAGAGAAATGGTGGTGGGTGTGCGTGCGTGCACACACCCAAAATTCACGATTCACCTGTCCAAGGTGTTAAACACAATGGATAAAATGTGTGTTAAATGAACTACGTATGTACTTCTAATCTGACCCACCAGAAAAACACATGCCAACTTGGGCCGTGTTCTGCCGCCTCCCAGGTATATGACAATCAGATGTCAACACTGTTGAAAACAGGACTGTGATAAAAGTGTTTCATAGAATCATAGAAAAGTGAAGTTGGAAGGGCCCTACAATGCCATCAAGTCTCAGTGCCGGAATACAATCAAAACATGCTCTGCTAGACCATGATATATGTTTGGGGGTCTGCATTCAACTAAAATTTGAAATACTTCCATCCTTTTGAAATGTGGGAGACAGAAAGAAACCTACATGTTTCTAAACCTTTTTTTAATGATAATTTTCAGAATGATTTCCTCTAATTTGACATCACACTCCCACTCAACAGAGATGGAACACACACTTACCCTGATCTTTTTTTTTCTTTTAGAATAGCAAGCAGCTATTCTTATTCAGGATGATTATCCCTTATAGGGTAATGGGATGTTATTGAGTCAGTACAGCAGCAAGGACAACATTGTGGGTTTTATTCTGTATATCAAAAAGGCTTCCCCAGAGATCCTCGCCAAACATGCCAGGAACAAGAATACAGCCTTCAGGCAAACTTTTTGGCAGTTTGATGCATCAGTGGATTCATACTTAAACTCTCTTTCCCAACTGTTTGGACCGAATTCCATATAATAGGCAGACAAATTCAAAAGAGTATCCCTTTGATCATATGTTTCAGGGCACTTTTAATTGTTTGGAAGCATTCTTTCAAATGTGAGTAAGTGGGCAGAGGTAGACTGAAAGGTGGGCATTGCATGTCCATAGATTACAACCTCTTGGAAATAGAGAGGTGCTTGTTGCTCGTTGTGTCAACCCGAACCAAGAGCTTCAGGAGTGCACTTGGATTGTACGGGAAGAGGTTTCTTCCATGAAGCCTAGAAATCAAGTCTTGCAATTCTTGGAAACATGTCACAGCTTTTCGAAGCATTCCTTCTGCTGATCCAGAGTTATTTGGGGATGTTTTGCAATGAGAGGGTGACGGGACGTTCAACATGTCCTCCTCTGAGGGTCCTGCTTGGTCATCAGTTTCTGTAAGAAGGGTCTCACCTGAACAGGTTTGGTTATCTGAAGACGTTGGGTTTGCGTCTGTCAAATGATTCTCTCCGACCCATTCTGGCTCAGAATCTTCTGAGCTTTCATAATCAACCAACCTCTGAAGGGATCCTGGCAAAACAGGATTGTCAGATACTGGCAAAAAATTAGACATGCTGGGTTTTACCATTTGATGATCAATAGGTTGCGGTGAAGACAATGTATGGGAGGAGTTCAAAACCTCCGTAGTATAGGACTGTGGTTCTGATAAAATAATTTTTAAATTTGAATCTAACTGGTAAGCATTTCCTTCATGGCAGGGCAAGCACTCCAGAGAAAAATGGGAATCTCCACTGGTTCCAGGTTCCAGGTGTTTAGCAATCTCAACAAACCGATGCCAATCTTCTACGAGAAGTTTTAAGTATCTTACAAAATACTCCAGGAAGCAGGTTTCAAATGAAATCAAGAAATCGAGGAGAACGGAGGCATCAAATGCAATACTTTTCAGCAGAAATAAAAAGATGCAATGAGGGTTGCAACCATTACGATGCGTCAGAATGTCTTGGGCTTCACCATCCGAATGGCATAACGTGACGCCAACTGCATGCTGGAATCTAGGAATAATTGCACACCAAATAAGCAAAGCGTGACTTCTGACAAGGATAAATGCTATGTATGTGATTATAGCGCAATTATAAAAGTCAGCAATGTTCTCGTAATACTCCTTTCTTCCTACAGGCCATACACGGATACTTCCAGGATTTGTAAATCGCACTCCCCCCATTAACATCTTAAGTGTTGTTTAATCTCCGCGTGCAAAGAAGATGATAAAGCAGGATCAGATGAAAAAGCTCAACTCTCTTTCGGTCTAGTAAGCTGTATTTTATTAGACCGATAATTGCGAGACAAAACCGCCCCAAGTGAGTACACCCCTGATTACTTCCCAGGGGGCAGCACCAAATAGGCATTATTTCCATTTCTCGCCTGTGAGTTTCCCAGAGGTGTCAGACTGAGGTGTTTCCCCAAAGAGATCAAACTGAGTGCTGATGGGAGAAAATATCATTGCCTACTTAACCCTTGGTTTCTTTGAGCAAGGCCACCATATTTCTGAGCAGGCTCTTGGCAAATGGGGGCAAATTTCCAACTCTTAGAGACCCTACCAACAGTGCTCAACTCTTGTATGTTCAAAAGTCACACACCCAGAAGGCGTGGGAAGCTACATCTTATTCAGGATTATTGCCACTCCAGGACACAAAAATGTCTCAGGGAAATGCATGACTCCTCCACCTTGTCCTACACTTAAGAAGATCCTAAACACTTAGGCCAGAATCCTGTTGGATCGGGGCCAATCACACAGTGGCGGCAGCTGTTCAGATGGCTGTCTGTTGCACAACCAATGAGATGAGAAGAATTATTCCTGTTTTATTTCTTATTTCCAACCCTGTTTTGTTTCTACAAAGCTACTTCATATACTACCGGGCATTCCTCCAATGATTTTTAATTTCAGTATGCACATAAGTTTAGATATAAAGCCAACGTGGCACTTGCAGTAGCATTAGAACCTTTGGCCCATCACCCTGCAACTCTCTTTAGCACCAAAAACACACTCTATGGCTATTCAGCTGGGATACTTGGCTTTCAGCTGGCTCCCCAAAAGAGTACAATTAAGAAGCATTGTTCATGGAAACAATGGGTATTGATTCAGTAATTAAGAGCTCTGAATTATCAGCCATTGAAACCACCTCAGCCATCACAAGCTTTAAGTAAACGTACAGGGGCAAAGTCTGTTGATGCTTATCCAGCAAGCTGCATTCCAAAGGGTGTCTACAAAGTTTGCACTCCATGTTTTCTCAGGTGCAG